TCTGTCTCAAAAAACCAAAACAAAGCAAAATATTGAAAGCACACCAGGCCTGGAAGTGCCTGCCTATAATTCCAGCACTAGGGAGGCTGAGGCAGGAAGATCACTTCAAGTTTGAGGCCAGCCTGGGCTACATAGTGAGCTCAAGGCCAGCCTGAACTACATGAGACCCTGTCTCAAAACAAAAAACAAAAAACAAGAAAACTTTGAAAGCCAGACATGGTGGTGTGTACCTGTAATCTTAGCCTGTAATCTCAGCTACTTGGGAGTCTGGGGCTAGGGAATCATTTGAGCCCTGGAGGTCCATGGTAGCTTTGGCAACATAGTAAGACAGTCTTGAAAAAAAAGTTGAATCAGCCATCTTTATAGATTCTGTCATCTTTATTGTTTCTGTCAACTTTATCATTAAGAAAATCTGGAATCTGGTGTTCATGATACATTATTCAGAATTCTGGAAAGCAGAACATTTTACAATAGTTAAATAATCTCCCATTGAGAAATAAAATAATCAGTTAGTGACGATGTTATTCTTGTTATAAAATGAGCATTGTATGATTATAGAATTGTTTATTCCACTGACAGAGGAAGATCCAATTTTTGTGGGTTTAAGGACTATAGAGTTGGAGGGGGCCCTATTTTATTGTGATATAAAATTTACCACTTTAGTGACATTAAGTTCATCACATTCTTGTGCTTCCCTTACCACTGTATTCTTTCTGAACATTTTCATCACCTCAAACAGAAACTGTACCCATTAAACACTGATGCCCTATTCCCTTTCCCCCAACCTCTGGTAATTCAACTTTTGGTCTCTGTGAATGTATCTATTCTAGGTACTTCATATAAGTGGAATCATACAATACTTGTCCCTTTGTCCCTGACATATTTCACTTAGCAGGAGGTGGTCAGGGTTCATTCATGTTGTAACATGAATCAGAATTTCATTTTTGGGCAGGGCGTGGTGGTACAGGCCTGTAATCCCAGCCTCTGGGAGACTGAGCCCCAGAGGATGGAGAGTTTGAGGGCAGCCTGAGTTACATAGTGAGACCCTACCCACCCCCCAATTCCTTTTCATTTTTTTGAGACAAAGTCTCACTACACAGTTCTGGCTGGCCTTGGACTCACTATGTAGCCCAGGCTGGCCTCCAACTTGTGGCCATCCTCCTTCCTCAACCTCCCCAGTGCTGCCCCCCAGTTCCTTTTTAAGGTGGAACAATACTCTTTTGTGGTGTGTACGGTGGTTGTCCATTCATCTGTTAATATACGCTTTGGTTGTTCCATCTTGTGGGTACTGTGAATAAAACTACTATGGACATTAGTGTAAAAGTATCTGCTTGAGTCCCTGGTTTCATTGTTTTGGTTAATAAGGGACTATTTTTCTTCCCCACGTACTGGGATTTGAACATAGAGGCACATCATTCACTCAGGTACATTCTCAACCTATTTATTTTTTATTTGGAGACAAGGTCTCACTAAACTGCCCAGACTCAAACTTGTTCAAACTTGTGAGCTGGGACTTGGGACTTATAAGTTGAGATTGCAGGTGTGCACCACTGTGCCTAGTGTGGAGAACCCTTTTAAGGAAAAGGGTACAGGGCTGAAGGTATAGCTCAATGGTAAAGTACAGGCTCAACTCAACATGCACAAGACCCTGCATTCATTTTCCAGTACAAAAAAAAAGGTACAAAGCAACAAATACAAATTTGAGTACAATGAGAACAAAAATCACAACAAATTTTAAAAATTCTTTTGGAAGACAAGCTCACTATGTTGCCCAGGCTGATCTCTAACCCATGGACTCATGTATTCCTCCTGCCTCAGCCTCCCAAGAAGCTGGGACTAGGAGCATGTGCCACCACACCTGGCTATACTTCATTTGTTTGTTTGTTTGTTTGTACTGAGGATTGAACCTAGGCCCTGAATTCTCAGCCCCTCCTTTAAAAAAATTTTTTGAGACAGGATCTCACTAAGTCTCTAAATTGCCCAAGCTGGACTTGAACCTTTGATCCTCCTGCCTCAGCCTCTTACAGTTCTGGAATTACAGGTGTGTACTACCACAGTGGCCGAAATTTCACATTTTAAGCAGCTGAACAATAGCACAAACATTACAAAATCCAGGGATATAACATATTATTATCCACAGTTTTACAGCTCCAGCTCTGTGATAAATTTTTGGCTGCAGATTCTTTCATTTCTTTGTAAGACAACAATCTAATAATATGATTTTTTTTTTTGAGACAGAGTCTCACTGCATAGCCCAGGCTGGCCTTGAACTCACGGGAATCTTCCTGCCTCAGCCTCCCGAGTCCTGGGATTACAGACATGTGCCACTACACCTAACAATCCTACTTTCCTTTTATACCTGACTTTCTAGTTGGAGAGCTCAGGCTCCACACCTGTGTATTTGCCCCCCACACAGGCAAACACCACCAGCCTCAGGAACATAGGGAAATAATCTAGCAAAGCAAGGACTAGAACCCAGCCATTCGCTCACTTTTCAGATCTCTGCATCCTATGTGCAAAGTGTTAAGAGTGCAGGGAGACAGGAGCTTGTACACTGAAACTGTTCATTGCAGATATCTATTGTTGGAAATTCATGCTGCCCACTGCTTCTGAGGTCAAATGTCTTGGGCCCTGTTGTTAAAAATGGGTCCAAATAGCCACCCCTTACTGCTGCAGCTTCTTGGGCACTGGCTTTTTCTGGCCAGCGCAGATGACCTCTTCTGGCTGCTGGGTGAGCATTCTGTTTCTCCTGGCTCTGGCAAAAGAACTGGATCCTATGTCCAAGCATCTCCAGTCTACACTGAGAACTATTACAGCTCTGATAGCGACTAGAAGAAAATCAAGAAGAATGAAGAGAGAATTCACGGATGCCACCTGTAAACCACATTTGGACTCTGAATCAAACAAACCAACTCTAACCACAAACAACTTGTGAGACTTTTAAACATTTTTTTGTTTTTGTTTTTTCCCTGCTAGGAATCAAATCCAGGGTTTTTACATGGTAGGTAAGCTCTCTCCCAAGCATAGAGGAACTTTTTTTGTTTTGGTACCGGGGATCTAACTCAAGCTTTTGCTTGCGAGGCAGGCGGCAGCACCACCACCACTGAGCTACACATACCCTGCCCTGGTGTGGCGGACCAGCCTTCACCAGTCGAAAGGTTCCTGAATGGGGGAAAGGAGGACTAAGAAAATAAGACAAAGAGACAGAGTCAGGAGGGCTCCCAAGACCGAGCGAGCAAGTTTATTTTCATCTCTCTTTTATACACTCTGTGAGTTAGGTCATTAATCATGACCTTTATCAAAAACACCTGCTTCCTTGTTTACTAGTTCTTTGGGAATTCCCCACCCTCATGGGCTTCCTTGTTTCTCGGGCTTACAGAACGTTCATCACATTCCAGGGCAATCTAATTCGGCAAGTACGTGGTTCCTCATAACATAGTCTCCTTGCTCTATATAATGGAGGGTAAGATTAAACATGGATCCTCTATGGCTAACACCGCTCTCCACACCCTGGAACTTTTTTTTTTTTTGAGACAGAATCTGATTGTGTATTCCAGGCGGCCTGGCTATGTAGTTCAGGCTGGTCTCCAACTCACAATGTAGCCCAGGCTGGCCTTGAACTCATGGTGGTTCTCCTACCTCAGTCTCCCCAGTGCAATAATTATAGTTGTGTGTCACCATGCCTGGTTGATTTTATTAATAATTGGATAACCTGATAGTATGTACCTTCTGACATGAAATATATATTATGAAGCAAATAGTATAATTTGTAGTATTTTTTTCTACATAATGTTTCACTTCAAATAAAAACTCTAGATTCTGAGCCAGGAGTGTTGTTGTATACTTGTAATACCAGCACTCTGAGAAGCTGACGCAGGAAGATCCTGAGTTCCAAAGCAGTCTGGGCAACTTAGTGACTTAGCAAGAGTCTGTCTCTAAATAAAAAATTAAAAAGGGTTAGGGGTGTAGTGCAGTGCAGAGGCCCTGATTTCAGTTCCAGCACCATAACAAAACAAAACAAAGCAAAACAAAAGAACTTATAGATTATGACATTTAGACTTAGGCCACAGTTTATAGGAAATATAGGGGATAGAAGAACAAGTTAAATCATGAAAAAAAAAAGTGGAGGGCTGGGATTTAGCTCAGTGGTGCTGCCGCCTACCTTGCAAGCTCAAGGTCCTGAATTCTATCCCCAGTAACCCCCCGCAAAAAAAGCAGAACATTTTACAAGACTCCTAGTTTAGACTCTGAAAAAGCTCAGTGTTGTGGGTGGTGTGGCGAAACATGGCCTTTCATTGGATTTTAGTTAACAAACAAAACCCTAAAACTTACAAAACAAACCTCAACACTTCAAATCATTTTTTTTTAATCCAGTTTTTTTTTCTTTTTCCTTGCTAGTATATACAGTGTTCTCAGGTGTGAGGATATTGTAGTCTTACAGGATCGTGTTTATACATATATATATTTTTTTGGGGGGGGTTTAGACAGGTCTCGCTATGTAGTCCAGGCTGGCCTCGAACTCGTGGCGATCCTCTTGACTCAGTCTCCTAAGGTTTGGGACTAAAGCCATACACCACCACACCCTTCTGGGATAGTTTTTTATTCTGTGAACATATCAAAATATTTAACTATGAAATGTTATGATGTCAAGTAACAGCGATGAAATGTCATGATGTCTACCACTTTAAACGGTTCAACAATACAACTTACTTTGAACAGGTTTAACGCTACAGTACTGACATACACAGACACAGACGGGGAGTGAGGGATCAGAATTGGGAGAACACTAAGAACTCTTTGATCTAAATGGAGGGTAAACCGTTTACCACACTGTCCTCTCAACTTTGCTGTATGCACTGAAATCATCATCATACAATGCTGGAAGATTTAACGCCTGCGTCTCCCCGCCGAGCCTGAAGTCGGCTACATCCCTAGGTGCCACACGCCCTCCTTCAGGGTGCGTCCGAACATGCGCAAAGGCCCTGCCGCGCCCCGCCTCTCGCGTGTACGCATGCGCGCAAGGGAGAGGCGCGCGGCCCGAGGGCCGGCGAGAATCCAGCTGTGGGACTCGGTGGACTTCTGAGGTGCGGGACTTGGAGAGGATGGAGACGCTGAAGGTGGAAAAGTTCACGACCGCCAACAGCGGAAACGGGTTGCGCGCCGTGGCCCCGCTGCGTCCCGGAGAGCTGCTCTTCCGCTCGGATCCCTTAGCATACACGGTCTGCAAGGGGAGTCGAGGCACCGTCTGCGACCACTGCCTGCTCGGGTAGGTACGGAGCACCCTCGCCACCTGCGTCCCGAGCGGTGCGCGGTCCAGACTGCAGGGTTCGTTGGGCGGGTAGCTCGTCTGGCTGGGGCGGCACAGCAGCTCGGACGGGCTACAGAGCCGGGGCCCCGCGCTGCCCGGAGGCGCGTGTTTGCGGGGCGGATCCGCGCCCCGCCCTGAAGCCCCCCGCCAGGGCGGCAGTGGGAACTGGGGAGCCAGTGGTACAGACTTGAGGGGAAACATTGGGCCGTGGGTAATTTTCTTGGAGAACAACGGATCTGTGTGTATTGTTCCACAAGCTTCAGTGGTACAACTGTGGAAATCAGGCTGTGGAGACCGTAAGTGGCAAAGGTGGGTGTGGGTGGGAAGGAACTGGGATGAGAATAAATCAGGCTCATAACTGAGGCCCCACTGGGAAAGGACCAGGCTTGCCGGAGGTGAGACAATTTTGCTGTTTACTGTGCACCTTTATGGTCCAGGTTTTGTGTGGCTTGGGATATGAAGATGAACGGGACACTGTAAGAAATCTTCAAGGAGCATATCAAAGAGAGATAGTAGTTACATTGTAACAGGCTGAACTAGAGGTGCAGATAATGTTGGACCGTGAAATAAGTTACTGAGGTTTCACAGTCTACTTTGCCAATTAGTGGTTGTATAGGTAGATGTAACTTTTTTTTGCCCAGGCTAGCCTCAAACTTGGGATCCTCCTATCTCAGCCTCCAAAGTTGCTGGGATTACATGTATGCAACATCACACCCAGTGCAAGTCTAACTCTTAACTAGCTATCTGGTTTTGAGAATTCATGTGACAGTGTTTTGGAAGCCTGGAATTGCAGTGGCAGTGTAAAGTGCTATGTGAAATCAATTTATGGAAATGTTTAATATTTACATGTAGTCGTAGTAATTGTATGCAGTTAGTAAATGTTATTGAGCTCCTATTGATGTGCGGGGAGACCCCCCCCCCCCGCCCGCTACATCCCTAACCCTTTTTATATTTTTATTGTGAGACAGACAGGGTCTCACTAAGTCAATAACCTCGGTGGGACTCGAACTTGAAATCTTCCTGCCTTAGCCTCCTAAACGTGGAGATCACAGACCTGCGCCACGTGAGCTGTTTTGAGATGGGTGTGATGATTTTGTGTGTAACTGCTTTTACAAACCTTTTAGTCTGGGATTGGGTGGGTGGAGGTTGAGTGTAATCTGTAGCTTGACCTTTAATGTTACTACTTCTTTACTTGGTTCATAATTTATGAAATCATTTCATATACATTTTAGTTTCCAAGTAATAATTCTGTCTTATTGCTTTCTTCAGTAATGGTAACAGTGACACATACACAGATCTTTTGAGTGAGTACTTCGAATTTTAGGTGAACTATATGGTTCAGTACAGTTCATTCCTTTCAGGACCTGACTTTTAGCTGGGTGTGGTCTTGCACATCTGTGATTCCAGCGCTCTGGGAGACTGAGGCAGGCAGATCATAAGTTCAAACCCATCCTGATGAAAATGTGAAGGCCTTGGGTTCAATCCCTAGTATGGAGTGGTTGGGGGAGGGTAGACTTGACTTTTTGTTGAAGGTCCAAGCATTTAAGTTGCACTTTTTTTTTCAGTTCTGTGGATTGAACCTAAGATCTTGTTCATGCTTAGTAAAGTCTCTAGTGCTGAGGTACATCCCCCACACCACGCCCCTTTCTAAAGATTTGGAGACAGAGTCTCACTAAATTGCCCAGGCTGGCCATGAACTTGAGATCCTCCTGCCTCAGCTTCTAAGTAGTTAGTTGAGATTACACATGCTTGTCACCATGTGAAGTTTAAGACATGCATCTTGATTCTCATTCAGGCAGATTGGAGAAAGTAGATCTCTTCATTCTGTTGCCCTCTTTGAAGTGTACCCAGAGTTTGAATGTACTCCAAAGTAGAATTTACTGTTTCTTAAGTCCTGTAACATTAGTTGATGGAGAAGATGTAGATCATCTTGTGGATAAAATTAGATTACCATATGACATGGTACTTGGAACAGGAAAATGTGAGAATGAATAAAAAGTGACAACTTACTTATAATAACTGAATTATCAGATCTGAGCTTGAGTCATATGATGCCTTGAATTGTCTGTTTCTCCCTTTGTGGGAGGGAATGCCTCTTGATTCACCATATTATTTCATTATTGCTCTCTACTACTCTTTTTTTTTTTTTTGGCAAGAACTGTGGTGATTTAAGCAAACAAGAATTGCTTGAAAGGGTTTCGAGATTTTAGCATTGCTTTAAAGACCTGGAGAAAACTTGGTTATGAAAATGGTCAGGAACCAAAACAGGAAAGCACTGCAAGAGTCGTTGGGTCTGGGGTTTGGGGAATACTTTATATCCTTTCTGTTGCTTGGTAATAATGGATTCTGCAGCATGTACTACTAGCACCATGGACCCTGGACCTTGCTCCTGCTGCTTCTTGGAAAACTGTTTCTGGAAAGCTGTTCTCTCTACCATTCTTCCTTGTGATATTAGCTTCTGATTCAGAGTTCTCAGTGGTTGTCTTGGATTGGCTGAGTTTAGGCCACTGCCTGTACCCCAGCTACAAGGGAAGTTGAACAGGTGACTATCTGGCCTTTTTGGCTTTAAGGTAGGAGACAGATATGGCCTTGAACTTGGGGCAATCCTCCTACCTCAGCCTCCTGAGTGCTGGGATTACAAGTGTGCATCACCATATCTAGCAAGAAATACTTATTATGTCTCCAAAAATGATTTTTATAAGGTTCTACCTGCTTTCTTTTGCCCTAGGGCTATTTTGATTAGTGCTTTAGTTCTGCATATTTATTTATGTTAATAGAGAAACTTGAACCTGGTCCCTGACTTTTCTTGCTCTTTTCTTCTCATTAAAGGATAGTTGTTTTTTTTTTCATCTTGTGAGTAGAAAAGAAAATTATGTAAGTCAGAGAAAGATTAAATGACAATGATATTGTGGTCTGAAGTCATTTATATTGTCTTTCTGCTATTGTACATATTTTTTAGTTTGGTGGACATATCTTTGACAAATGGATTGTGTGTGTTTTCTCTGCCATTTGTTTTGGTAAGTGTAGCACATAAAATTTCACGTATTTGTGGTCTCCTTACTCCTAAAGACAGGGCCTTAAGTCTAACTTTGTATTTCTAGTGTATAGAACACACAGCAGATGTTAATTTCTTGAATTTGTGAAAGGATATTTGGGGGAATTTTAAGTCACTGTAAAGTATGTTTATCCTTAATTTTCCAAAGTTCCAAGTTGCCTGCAACTTCCACATGAAGAGTTACTTCCAGCAAGCTCTAATGTTAGTTTCCCCTGTAGGGTACAGCAGGTATCATTCAGCATTAAGGTTGAGGTCAAGGCATAGTGCCTCCTAGGAGGAAAGACGATGACTTGGAAGTGGAGAGTCCATCCCTTTCAGCCCTAGTAGATTATAGGAAGAAGGGGGATAGTCAGAGAAAAGAGATTTTTGAGAATTAATATGCTCTGAATTTGCTTGCCTGGCCAAAGTTCTAGGGTTTTAGGGCGTGCTGAGTACCATGAGGAGACAGTCAACAGCACAGGGCCTTTGGCTCTGTTCATTATTTGGAATCTTGAGAGGAAGCAGCTAGCTGTGTAGCTTAATGCTGTGTTAGCATTGGAGACTGTAGCACAGCAGCAGCAGAAGGAAGTGGCTGGATAGAGGAGCCTGTGAAGGCAGGGGATTTTGAAAAGCTGTCATATACTCTAAGACAGATGGAGGAGCTTAGAGGGCTGGTGGAACAGCAAGCATGACAAAGGACTATGTGAATACAGATTCAAAGTCAGAACCATGGACACCAGGGATGGGAGCCAGCATGACAACCCGAAAGATGAGATGGCACCAGGCCAACCAGGACCTGATCACCTCCTTGCTGCAGACACCAGTGAGGATCCAGAGAGAAACTACACACCTAAGGTCTTCTTGCAAGAAAGAAGACCCTTCCTTACTTTGGGGATGTCTCATAAGACCTATGAGAAAAATACACCCCAAATCAGCCATTAAACCAGTCCTGGTAAGGAGTTAAAGTCTGAACATTAACTGGAAAAGGTGAGATACTGTTTGACAGGTTTTAAGTTTCCTGGATGTTTAATAAAGTAAATGGCCACGAATATTGTTAGATTATAGAAAATGCTGCAACACCATGTTCAGAAAACAGATTAGGCCGCTGTGGTGCCCCATCCCTGTAACCCCAGCATTTGGGAGGCTGAGGCTGGAGACCTCGAGTTCAAGGCCAGCCTGGGCTACACAGTGAGTTGAAAGCCAGCCTGAACTATATACCGAGATCCTGTCTCAAAAAATCTGCACACCCCCCAGACAGATTAGATCACTTTTAGAAAGTAAATAGCCATCTTTGAGTTGCCATGTAAGTAAATATGAACAGGCCGTAAAGGGGGAATATAGGAGCATTAGATTTACTATGATGATGGAATCTGTCTTGGCTGAGGACTGAACCTGGGGAGGAGGAAACAGCTTCCTATCTTGGGGTAAGAAGAGGTGCTAGAGAACACTGCTGCAGTGGTAAATGAAAGGTTTGGGACAATTAGGGAAGTGGTTGCTAAGTGACTTAGTCTTGGAGAGGAGAAGGTTTGAAATAATCTTCTGGGAGAGAAGAGTACATTGCCGAGTGAAATGTGGGATTGTTTTGAGGTGCTGAGGGTCCACTTAAAACTTGTACTTACTCACTTAAAGTGGGAATGCCTAACAGATGAATGCTTGTCTCTCTCGCTCTTTCTCCCTCTCTCTTTTTCTCTTTCCTTCCCTCCCTCTGCACCCCCTGCCCCCCAAGACCAGCTGGTTAGTTATGAAAATTAATTTGACCCAGGGTTAGCAGGTTGGTGTGATGGGTGGGGAGAGGGAGAGAATTTGGAGCTCTTGGTAAGGAAGGGTGTAATCATGGACCATGGTTTCTGAGGTAGGTAGTGAGGTCATGGGTAGGACTGTGGGCAGTGAAGTGTTATGGGGTCACTGCATTAGTGGTCCTGGT